TATATATACCGGTATATGTGTGTGTATGTATACGGTACGTCATGTGCATGTTTATTTCTACCTTTTTTTAACTTTTTTTTTCTACTTTTCCATGATTACACTGTAGTCCTGTCTACTGTTCATAATTTATCTCATACTTATCACAACGTATATCTTTTTAATAATTAAATAATGATTAAACTATACGGTATGATTGTCTATTTTCACCCTTCTCGCCAATTGCTTTGTATTTAATTTTAATTTTTGAATCATTGTTACATTGTTGTATTATGCATGGACGCACCACCGTACAGGTGTGTGTCAGTGTTCCTAAAGTGATTTCCAATAAATACTGAAAACTAGCAGTAAAACGAATATTAACGTACGGTACCGTATTCATCGTAAGGTACCGGTAATCATTAACAAAGTACTTTAACGCTCCGCCTAGGAATTTGCTGCAAGGCCAATAAGGGCGAAATGCAATATTAATAAACAATTTTTAGTGGAAAATTAAAACACATTCACACGCACCGTCGTTTGCAAACTTTATCTGGAATATACGCGCTTTACAGAATAGTATGCTATTAAATATTCCTCAGGAAGATATGAATAATATTAATTATTATAAGATTAGGTAGGCCATATAAGAGATATGCGATTTAAGATATACGATTTATTAAACATCTAAATGGCAGCAAAACTGCTTAACTGGACATTTGAATGTGAAATATTTACATGACGCGTCATAATGCCCTATGGTGACAAAACACTTTTTATAGAGTCGTGGCTTGTGCTAATGAGGTTTTAACGTTTATACGGAGAGCATCCTGGGTGAGCGGCTTTGTTCTGCCTGCCAAGAAGCATAGTGACGAGGGCTTAGCCAAATCCTCTGTCTACCCAGCCATTGTTATACTTCCAATGTAGTGTTTAGTATTAAGTGTAGTGCACAGTACAGTTTTTAACAAAGCATACAGTCTATTCATGGACGTAATGATCATTCACTAATTGAGTATTCAGAGTTTGACGGTGCTAATACCTTTCTTTGTGTGGGTCTTTAGCTTACGACAAATTAGGGAACCTGAAATTCAATAACTCGTAACTTTCAATACAGTCAATCGTCTGTTTCGTCTTCAAAAACAAGTGAAACCTACTCCATACCTTGGTAAACATAATATTAATGAAGGCCTAGCAAATACTTGACCTAAATATAGAAGAGATATACCTCCCTTTGTCAAAATATATATTCTAAATTCTAAATTTATATTCTAAAAATGCAATTAAGGTTATTACTGTATTTAGCCATTAGCTACTGAAAGGCCCTATCCTATCAGTACTTAGAAGGAATAAATGTTTAATTATATGTTTACCGTATTTTATGTTTAGCTCAAGAGAGATGGCGTACGGGTACCGTACCGTACGTTCACCTGAAATGGCAAAAACATATTTTTGATTCATTTTTATATTAATTTCTCTATTTCTCTTTCCTTTTTGGAGGTTTTTCGAAATAAATTTGAATATTTGAAATTCTTAATTAATTGTTACTTTTTATCATTTGTCAGGAGACAATGCAGTAGTCTCACATTTTTAACGATGAAAATATATACGGTATAGGCCTATGTCGAATGGGGATAACTGAGGATAGGCCCTCACTCTGTCCATTATGAAACCAGCAAAAGCGATGTTGGGTTGTTTAACGATGTTCGTCATTAAGTTAAAAGCAAATCAATAGTAATATCCCGCAAGCTTCACTGCAAAGCAAAACATTGACAAATTACCTTCACAGCGGTAGAACATTTTAACTTCTGCAATCACTTTATAAATAGAACAACTGCATAAAAGAAAGACAACACACTCTTGTATTCATAAGCATATTCACCTCTTATTTCTCTTCTTTGAATAATAATAATATCATCAATAGGCCTATACATAGACATATAAATTATACAATAATGATCAACCTTATCATAGAAATGGAATACATCTTAATAGCTATAATATACAAGAAATATTAACACAGATATTAAACATTATTACACCTTTGAGGGGCAGTGACAAAAATATATAACAAGCAAAATTATCTTACAATTGGTTTAGAACCAATACGCAATGGTCAATATGCGCTTAAAAATACAGGATTAATTTAGGATCTATTCGGTATAGATTCCGTGTGGATTCAAAGTACACGTGATTGGGTTAGGCCTATCTGGTATATATGTTTTGACATTGTTTCTACGCACTTAAAATGCCTCTCGGCCCGGACTACATATGCCTACTAGCGTTTGTCTATGCCCACCTAAACAAATAATCCATTCTATCATCTGGGCCAAAGGTCATGATTATAAATTCAACGAATATTTTAATGTCTCGCAGTAGATTTTAAACTTATTAAACATATATGCAAAGAAAAATATATATTTTATTTATTTTCATAAGATTTAAAGCAAAGACTGTTAGGCCTATTACTTCAAAATGTTTACGAACTCAGTAGGCCTAGTATTACCGTACGTGTCAAGTCCTTCGTCGGAATTGCATTTTTTTATATATATAAATAATATTAAGAATATATGATTTAAACAATGGACAGCTAGATAACAATGTGCATAGGTTTTGAAAAATTATTTAGCGAATGAATCATTAAAAAAAAAATTCAAATCGCACTCTCACAGTAATCTATTGTCAAAAGTAAAGTTATAATATTTTGCCTAGAAGTTTATTACCGTATGGAAATTGACATACTATAACTATGTTAACTATCAAAATCACATGCTCCTCAAATAATTAAAATCTTACTAATTTAAACGTGCGCAAAAGAAAGAGCTTTGTTATTTATCGGCCCTGTTATTCTAGGCCTTGATTCGTGTCCACATAATCTCTCGTAAAATCTTCTCCAAGAGTCCAGGGTCTTACTAGACCAGATCCAGAAACCTGACGTAATACCAACGACCAAGCACATAAAATATTTTAGCATAAACACTGAATAATCTGGTTTAATTTGGTCCGATCCACACGGGCAGTTATAGCTAGTGTTCCATTCCTCGTGTGAATGCTGTTCGTAAAAATAACAAGCTACGACTATAGTTGCTGGAACAGTATACAATACTGTGAAGACACCGATTCTAATCATCAGTTTCTCTAGTTTATCTGTCTTAGTGCCACCTTGTTTGATAACGTGTCTGATGCGGAATAAAGATACAAATCCAGCTAGCAAAAAGAAAGATCCAATGAGAAGGTAAACAATAAGTGGGATCAAAACGAACCCGCGTAGATTGTCCATGTTCTGGTTTCCGACGTAACATATTCCAATGATAGGGTCTCCGTCAATTGAGCTCGTCGCCAAAACTGCAATTGTTTTAATACTCGGAATTAACCAAACAGCGAGATGAAAAAATTGAGAGTAACTTGCGATAGCCTCGCTTCCCCATTTTAATCCAGCAGCCAGGAACCATGTGAAAGACAGGATAACCCACCAAAGGGAGCTAGCCATACCAAAGAAGTAGATTAGCAAGAACACTATGGTGCACATCGCAGGCCCTGTCGTGTCATAACGGACCGTTGCTCCGTTACAGGCTATGGCTTCGTGACCTGCAATCAGACGTATAATATAACCGACGGACACAAGTAAATAACAACCGCTTAGAAATATTATAGGTCTTTCAGGATACTTAAAACGTTCCGAATCAATACAGTATGTGAGGATAGTTATAAACGTTGAAATACAACATAATATCGACCACAGTCCTATCCAAAACGATGCAAAAGTTTTTTCATCATCCGAGAAGAACGCACCATGGCAAGGGGTACCGCAGTTCGGCACGCCCCCGGTCATCACCTGGTTATAATCAGAACTACTCTCTGGTATCGGTATCATTGGTGCACGACACGAACAACATGTGTCTGCAGTATTGGGTTGAACTGTACGGTAACCCGATTGCTTTACCCCTGGTTTTGTAGGTTTAGTCGGTGGCAAAATACCTGTTGGTTGTGTGGTGCTGGTTTCGCTGGTGTTGAAGTCCATGCAAAGTTGGTCTCCACCAAATTCTGGCAGGTCTTCACATCGCATTCTCTCGGGCCATGCAAACCCATATTGCCGCATAAGGGGTGCACATCCAGACTTGGCTCGCTCACAGACACTTCGACAAGCAGGTAAAGGTTTATGATAGTTCGTTACGCATATTGGTGTGTACATACTACAGAGGAAAAATTTGAGGTCAGTCGAACATTTGATTTCGACCAGTGGCCAGAATTGATGTACTTCCATTCCTGCTTCCTCTTGCGATTCGTGATTAAACCGATTCGGCATATAAGTCATATTATATCCTATTCCCCGACACATAGGGATTGTGATCTCCTCACACTTAGCTTCACGAACCGCCAAACTCGGCACAATAAAAAGTCCAAAAGCTATTAAAAATGTTAATATTTGCTGCAATGATCGTGTGTCGACCGCCATATTTCAACGTCTCACAAGATTGTATTAGGAATGTCGTGAGTTCTACTAACCTAATGTTTGTATGCTCAGGCGGACTTCGGCAAACAGTTTTGTCCAAACAGAGTTTTCAACGCAATGAGCTACCAGAATTGAACAAATAACACGGTATGCTATCGCTATTCTCACACTTAATGGAATACTGTCTTCAAAACCTGCTGCAAATCACTTACGCCTGAACGAATCTTCAACTAACTTGAGAATTTTCAAACGTGATACGGCTTCCCAAAAATCATTATTGTATCCGAATAAACAGGGGATCTAGGAACGTCTTCCACTGGTAAACAAATCCCGTAAAAACAACGTCTACTGTATATATTTCCGGATGTCTAATCGCTTGAGGCTGTATTAAGAGGAGTTACGATTTCGTGTGTTTCCTCCCTAACCAACAAGACACTACTGCTTGAATATGTTTAAGTTTGATGGCCTATAGCAAACCAGATTACACCGAGGTGCTAAAGCCAGGCTGTCATTCATGTGTCAGCTCATTATGTCCATTGACAAATGACGTAATCTGTCAATCATGTAATAGATCCCCCAATTAGCGTAACGGTTGGCCGTGACGTCACGTAAGTCAACTCTCCTCCAATCGTGTGATTTCTCATTGAACTCCCACTAGTGTAGTGTCTTGGATTAGAAGACAGTTTGCAAGCGCGCAAGCACAATATGTCTTTGTAAATCGCTTTTGTTTGGTTACTTGTCGTGTTGCTTTAACTTTCTAATCAAGACCTATTGTTAACTGGTGTTAGGCAAAACCTCCCTTCACCCAACTCACGTTCTTGTGTACATAACTTGAATTTCTTTTTTCTTTCTATGAACAGAAGCTACCGTCTTCGAAAAAAGCATTACTTAAGTGTATTTACATTTTCTGGATTTCAAAAAAAAAAAAAAAATGCAACCCGGCCAAATGTAAAACCAATAAGTAGTTCAAACATATCAAAATAATGTAAAGCGAACTGTTTTTCTTAAAAGAGTTTCAGTCCATTAGTAAAGTATGCATAGGATCTGTATTAAGTGAAAAACGTGTTTATTCGTCGAAGTTCAAAAGTTAACAAAGTTAAATAGGTCTCGTTAGTTATGACGGTAGACCTATTTATGTTTTGTTTTTAAGCGTACTTTCATATAGAGTATTTAACAGTTATTAACTAAGGTAGGTAGTCTACGAAGCCTAGTTCTGTACAAAATATGTAAACGATTTCGGCCTGCGAGCTGCTTGTTTTATATACCCGAGTAAAGAAAATATTTATTTTCAAGGTATAGGCATAATCATAGAATATGTATAGCAAAATTTCAAAATGTATTTGTAGTTATATATTTTGAAGATAGGCCTGGTTTATACTAAATAGTTTCAATTATATCTGAGGGTCCTACTTTTGTTTTTTAATATCTAGACAAAAACTATTTTTATGGAAATAGAGAGTTATCCGTAGAATGTGTTAGATTACCGGTACACCCAATAGAAATGGTGAAAAATTATTTATATAAACAGGCTCATTATTAGGCCTCTATTAAACTTACGATAATGCACATTGTAAGTTGTATTTTGTTTTGACTTTAAACGAAAAGAACCATTTAAAATATTAGCTTATTATTATGAAGCCGTTATCATCACTGACTGATACTATGCAGGCCCGTAGCCAGGTTGTTCCGGGGGGGGGGGCGGTCTTCTGGGCGAGAGGTCCACAGTCGAAGCCCTGGTGGGGTCTGAGAAACCCCAAAGCAAGAGGATTTTTGTGCTTTATGAGTCTAAATAATGCTATAAAAACAGATATATTTTTAAATGCCTGTGTCTGGGTGGGTCTGCAGTGCATTAGTTGGGTTGGAGGACTGATTTGGGAAATTTATAGAGGGGGTTTCGCCAGAAAAGAGGGGTGTTTGCTAGAAAAGTGGGTTCTCCCGAACCATGGGCCTGCTATGTATGTCATTGCCGAATTATAATTTTATATGTATTAAATTTACATCAGGACCTATACATTATATTATGATAGAGCGCTACAAATTTAAAAAAAAAATTAATTAACTCCTTTTTAAACTTTCATGGGATATGCTAGTATACTATGGTTTACAACATCGCATTTTATTGAGTTTAATTTTAATCCTTTTAACTATTTTAAAATGGGATGTTTTAACTTTTAAAAAAAATCATTGTTATTTGCTATGTATTGCTATGATGTTGCGGTATACTGAATAAAGTCAAGTCAAGTCAAAACATTTTATTTTTATTTTTTATCAGCTGAACGAGGCTAATGAAGATTATGAACCGTACCATTATTTATTTATTTGTTAGGCCAATAGCGCCTTCCGAACTAATGTGGATACACCTAAAGGTGACACATCGAAGACACTCAATTAATTCCTAGTAGCTTAAATTAAGTATAAAGGCTTGTGGACAAATAATACTCCACCAAAGCAAGACAATGCGCCATTGACAGGCGAGTATTGTACTGCAGACAGGTTCATTATTATTATGTTCACACCTCTTTAGTTAATGTACTCTCTATTCTAGATTTTAAAGGCTTCTATTTTTTTAATCTGAGGATATTTTTTTACTGTATTGTTTGATTTTAGAGATTGTGGTATCGATTGTTGATGCTCTATTTGCCATTAAAGATGAAGAAAACGTTTTAAAATACAAATTTGAATTATTCATTTGAAAGAATCACATATACGGTAGGTCTACAATGATCAACTTTCAATAATATTTCTCCTGCTTAATCAACCCAAATGGTTTGGGTTGATTAAACAGTGAGAAATTCTTCCATTAAAGTATATCTACTGTTTGATAAAGCCAGACCATTGCAACCTCCTTTTTCTAATATGTCTTTTGTTTATCAACGATTTTGAAGTTGTTCACTTGTTTTTTTTTCTCTCGATCTTATTGTACAGATTGCCAAGTCTTAGCTTAAGTTATTGTAATTTTGTTTTTGTTTTGTATGTTGTTTTTGTTTTTTCTAGGAAGAGTGACAGCGTCCTAGGTATAGCCTAATGCAGCGGATCGTAGAGGCTCTACCAAATATTCGCGTTATAAATGGTGGTATAGCTGTTTAACCCTGACTAAAATATTACCAAGGCCTAAGCCCATCGTTCTTTGATGATGATATATCCATTGATCGATCTGATCTATTTGTATAAATAATAGTCTGAAGTAGTTTTAAGTTATATCGTTTAGGCGTAATACGGTATTAAATCTGTCTGTTTATTTCTATATTTCACTCGAACTATGCCTCCATGATTATTTGGTTATGAAAGTGGTGTGTATCTCATATTTTTCAACCTCAATCACATCCTCAACAAAAATTGTTTGATATATTGAAATAGAGTTGACAACAATCCTTTAAAATAACGTGACATTTGCGATGGAACATAACACCGTACCTCTAATGCCAGTCATCAACCATCTCGCCGACGGAGTGGTACTGGGCCGTTTACCGTGTAATGTAAATATTCTTTCCTACAGGTCAAAATGTTCAATCGCTCCAGACACTTCCACTTCGACAAATCTTATGATGAGTCGCATATAAGATAGTTCTAAAAATAATGTTAGAAAATAGTGTGTAAAGTTTTTATCTCACTGTTAAGGGCCAAACATTTTAACGATGTATATTTTAATTTAAAACGTTTTCATATTATGATTAAATTAATTTAGTAGAGCCTATTATATACCGTATTAACATTCTATATTATGATTATTTATTATATTTTATTTTAATTCATTTCGGCAAAATAAGCAAGTACGACAAACAGCTAGCCTATATGCACGGTATTGGTGCAGAGAATGGCAAAAGTCGTGATGTGATAAAAAAAAAAAAAAAACAATTGATAAATTTTCGTTAAGAGGCTATGCCCGATATTTCTACGGTTATTTTTCCTCTATTGTAGCACGGTTAGTATAATTTTAATCCTATTTAATTATATGGGCCTATAGGCCTATAATTAGGCAAAATCTATTGTCGTTAATATAAGTAAATAAATAAATACATATAGGCCTATATATATAGGCCTATATAATATATATATATATGTATGTATATATATATATATATATATATGACAATTGTATATATAATAGGCCTATATATATATATTACACAGAATTGTTCTTTGTCAGTATTATGCCTTTTAATTTATATATATAGGAATTGGTCATCTTCGATGGACAGGCCAACATTTATGTATCAATTCAATAACATTTTAAAAATAATATTGTATTGTATAATATTATCTTCATAAAACAGTAGGCCTATAGCATATTCTGTCGATATAGAATTTCTCAGTTGTCTTGGTGTATGTTTTTCGATTTGATCCCGCTAAGCACAGGACAACTAGAATGCATTGGATATCGACATGTGACAGTGGAACGTCGGCCCGGGCTACGCATTGGTCACTGCACGCCCGTATCTGTCAAACGGCCAGCTTAAGTTGCGCTGTTTGCCGCTTTATCTCAGCAAGTATTTACATTACGGAAATTGTTTGACGCAGTAGGGAATGGTTTTTTTAATCCATACTTGAGTTGCGGGCAAATGAAGATTAGTGGGGGAAAATCGACGACAAGTCAATCAAGCTCAAGTTCACTGTCGTTTTGGCATGACTAATGAAATTGGAGCCCGTTCAGGTGCTTCCATATACAGACCTATCCTATAGGCCTCTATGTAGGCTACCCCTACATGACGCCACTACGTAAACTTAAGTGCAGATAACGAATTAACAATAGGCCTAGGTCTATATATAAATTTTTTGTTTGTAAATTGAAGCCGGTAGGCCTAAGTTATTATTTTTGAAAAATAAATAATATTACAATTATGAATGTTGAATACGGTATATCACTTCTTGAAAACGGGGGCTGGCAGTTTAGCGAACAATATCAGGCTGGTCCCGTTACAGGTATTCCAGGGGCGGATTTAGGGGGGGGGGGCGGCCCGGCCCCGGCCCCCCCTTTTGGGAGGAAAAAAAAACAGGGGGAAAAAAAGGAAAAAAAG